TATTAAATATTAATCATAAGACTTCAGTTTGGTCAAAAGACAAACCCAATTTTCTAATAAAAAAGGGCAATCATCTAAAATGAATTGTTTCACAATGTTTGTATTTGTTTCACGCACATGGATTTGTTCACCATCGATTGATAGAATCCATTTTGTTTTTGCTCATTTAGTAAGATCGGATTCAAAAATATCAAATTAGAAATTTTTATGTAACTCATTTTTTATTTAATTTTCTTTTTAATTTGTAGAACCATGTAGTACACAGGATATTATAACAAAATGTAGTAAATTTTTTTTTTTTACCCGTGGTTCCCACGGGTTGTAACCTAGTATATATATATAGATATATATATATATATATTATATATATATATATATATATATATATATATAATATATATATATATATATTTCGTGACTTTTATCAATAATATTCAGAAGGTTTTGATATCTATTAAATATGACCAACAAAATCCACATTTTGTCATTTTGATCATTTTTCACAATATAAATAAGCTGAATGATCGATCACACAAAAATAATAATGACTAAATACTTATAATTACAAAAGTTGGTTAATAAAGTTAGTTATTTGAAAAAAAAAAAAGATACCAAACTCTACGAAAATCTATAAACCAAATCGTAAGGTAGGTAGTCGTAGAAATATTTTCTAATAATGATATAATATTTCATTTTTAATTATGTCAGAACATCTGTATTCAATTCAATGTATATTAAAAATATAAGATGACATTTTAATAAATTATGTTAATGACCGTAATTACTTATTTTTTAAAGTATTATAAAATGATCTTTTAAAAAATACGGCAACATTGTACACTATCAGCCGTCGTTACTATTGCTTATTTTTTTTGTGGTATTATAAGAAAAATTGCCCATAAAGTTATCCATATTTCTATGAACTATCAAATAATTGAAAATTATGAGGGTCTTGGAGTGGGTTGTCTTGATTCTGCCAACTTGGCTTTAATTGCCAAGTGGTGGTGAAGATTAAAAGGCGAGATCGATTCTTTTTGGTTTACTTGTATTAATTCGATCTATTCATAATCTTAATCTCGTTGACGGTAAGCCTCTTGCTAAATACTCTTTAAAGGGTGTATGGTATTACATTTCTCATATTGCTATTGAGTTAGAGGACACCTGTCCAACTTATTCAAAAGAGTGGCTGGCATTGGTGATAAGACATACTTTTGGAAAGACGTGTGGTGTGGCGATTATGCTTTGAAATATATTTATCCTAATTTGTATGCTTTGGAAAAAAATAAAGATTGTTAGTGAAGGACAAGATGAATCTAGGAGATGATCCGGTGCCAGTGTGGTGTTGGGAATGAACTCGGCATGTGAGAAGAGGTAGGGAATCCATGCAATTCTCGGCTATGGTTGATTTGGTGGCTACTGTTCATTTTAATAGATGTTGTGACAAATGGCAGTGGACAGGGGATTCCAAATTTTTTTTTTCTGTTAAAGCATTGAGACAATTAATTGACAGGTCCAGTGAGTCACATGACAACTTGATGAGGTGGGTGAATTGGATTCCGCTCAAGATCAATTGTTTATTCGGAGAGTGTTTAAAAATCGAATTCCAACAGTCTATAATTTGATAAAGCATGGTATTGGCATTTCTTCAAGTCTTTGTGCCTTTTGTCGTTCCTGTGAGGAAAGTATCGATCATACTGTTTTCTTATGTTCCTTTGTCACGTCTCTTTGGAAGTGGCTGGTGGAGTGGTCGGGTATCTTTAGGGATCAACCTTTTTCTTGCACAAGTCTTATGGATATGGTTAATTCGCATATAGGTGATAAGTATGTTCGTAAAATGATTTCGTCCGTTGTTTACTCTACTTTATGGATGATTTGGAAGGCGCGTAATGGAATTGTTTTTCAGAAATGAAAGGCGATTAGTTATGCTTTTGGCGGATGATATTAGCATTAATACTTTCAATTGGATTAAGAACAAGTCCAAATTTTGTAAAATTGATTGGTCTGTATGGTGTTTGTCACATTTATTGAACTTTTCTTGTATTTCACTTGAGCTTCTCGCCATGGGCGGAGCTTTATTAGGGCCAGGGGGGTTGTGGCCCCCCCTGATTTTTTTGTTATAAATAGCCCCCTGTACTTTCATTTAATACATATTAGACCAAAAAATATAAATTTTTAACGGTGGCCCCCTGTTCTCCGATTTTTATACATATTATATTTTCGGCCCCCCAAATAATATGTTGAAGCTCCGCCCCTGCTTCTCGCTTAAGTCCTTTTTTGTGCTAATATATTTGATTGTCGTTCAAAAAAAATAATGTAACAGCACGTTAACACTTAATATCAAAATGAATATATATATATATATATATATATATATAGCTAGGTTCAGGTGTTTAAAGTAAGTATTGTGTTATTGTATGCATAAATGTGAGCCAATCAAAATTTAAAATATAAATAAATAAATAAATAAGGGTAAATAGGTAATTTGATAATTAGTTTTCACAAATAATAGCCTATAATTATGGTAACCATTGACTTAACCACCTAGGTTTTTTTCCATCCCTTTTTAAAACCACAGACGTCGCCTTTCCGTTCACAAGATCCGCAGGACGGAGTGAACCACACTAACTCCAATCCCTCCCTTATGTCGCTGTTTGACCTGATTAGCACCATTATCGTCTTCATAACCTTACAAATCGAAGGCATAGAAAGAGAATCGATCCACGTAGCAAATACAGAGTAATTTCCGCTGCTCAAGCAAGGGAACGGCACACCGGGGTACATGAAACTGGAGTTCTGTAAGGAGCAGTTGTAAAAAGTGTAGCTCTTCATCCATAAGATACTATAACTGAATGGTGTGTCGGTTACATTGACGTTGATTATTCGATTTGGTCGGCAGAATTTCGGATCTATGTAGATGATCTGTGAATCGTTTACAGGTCTCTGATTAGAGACGTGATTTAAACCTACTTTTTGGGTAATGTCTTGGTCACCGAAACAAGAAGCGACAGGGGTGGAATGGTGGTAGGGTGGTGACCGTGCAAAGTGGTGTTGAGGGAGGCAGCAACTTCGGTTGCTCCTGTGTTTCCTGGTGAGTAGGTCAGAAACGAGAGAGAGGAAGGAGGCATTTGAAGGAATTCAACAAAGGATAGATATTTGATCAGGTTTCTCTATGTTTATTTATTTAATTAATTTTGTGTATTTTCTTACATCTGAAAATCTTTGATATATATTCCAAAATTGGGCAGGAATGTATTACATAGAATATACACTTCAAAATCCAGGGGTTTGTTTGAATGTTAGATAGAAATCATTGGGGTGTTTGGGTTTGTTTCATTTGATAGAAAATAATGTGTGTTTGGATTGGGTGTTTGACAGGGAAGGGAAGGAAATGAAAAGCAGTTTTTTGGCTTATATACATATCAGAATGAGCAGGTTTTTGGCTAATATCTATTGGAATGGAATCAAGAATTCCAATTCTGTTGGAATGGAATGACGAATTCCAATTCTTTTGGAATCACAGAAGTTGATGCTTGAAGAACGGACCACAAAATTGAAACGGACCTCATTATTCTTTTAGAATGTATTAGTCGTTGTTAGATTTTGATGTAATTATTAACAATTGTTACCCGTATTCTATAAGAAATAATGTATTTGTTGTTTTTATTCTTCAATTGATTGTTTAAGAATTTGTTATTCTACAAGAAGTTTTTAAATTCATTATAAAGAAATAGGTTCAAGAATATTTTTATTATTTATGGTTCAAGAATATTTTTATTTTTGAATATACTCATAAACATATTCTGTCAGAATGTCCGAATTAAAAAAATTATAATTCGTAAAATCGGATTTTTAAAATTAATAGAATCTATTATCTCTTAAAAAATGCAATTTTCCTTTATTAAATCTATATTAATTGACTAAATTACCCTTGTAATTAATTAAGATGATTTTTTTAATTATATTTAATTCAATAATATATATTAATTACTTTCTTAAAATAAGTAAATTTGATTGGCCCACATTTATCAATACAATAACACAATAATTACTTTAAACAAAATAACCTAAGCGTGTATATATATATATATATCTATATATTATAGATATATATATATATATATATATATATATATATATATATATATATATATCAAACTAAAAAAATTGAATAAAATAATGTATTAAAGAATTTCTTCAAATAAAATGTTATGGGTCTTTAATTTGCTGACACAAATTTATCTAGAAGATGTACATTGGCATATACTTTCAATATGTAAAAGCATAACCAAGGAGATAATGGCCTCTACACAAATTTATCTAGAAATTGTATTATCATTAGAAAGATGTTCAGCCAAACCGAAAAACTATTTCTTTTATGGTATTCTTTTTTGTGACGGGTGACAATAATCAATTATAATAATATTATTCATTAAATCATTTTATTTTTAATTGACGATAATGCATCAAATTATGTATTTTGTATACTATGTTAAAAATATATTAAAAAAAACTGAAATAAAGAAAACAAAAAACTGATAGTTAAAAAAACAGTAAAAAACTTAAATAAATAAAAAAACTGATATTTAAAATAAATAAAAACAACAAGAAAAATTGAAAAATACAAGAAAAAAAAAACAGTAGTTTAGTAAATATTTTTGAAACTATGCTAGATCGTAAATATTTTCAAAAACTCGTCTTAGATGATAATGCATGTTAAATGATCGTAGGACAGGTTGGTAATGTCGGACAAATAATGGTTAGTTCTGAAAATATAGACAAACGTCGCTAATGAATACGAATAAAAAGTTAAGATATAGACAAATGCCTACACGTTTTGAGTTGTAATTACTGTAGAAGTCAAATAAAACAAGGCAATTTGAGTACAGACTGTAGAAAAGCTAAATATATCTATATATATATATATATATATATATATATATCTATATATATATATATATATATATATATATATATAATATATATATATATATCTATATATATATAAACTTCGTGTATTCATATTTTAGAGAGAGAAAAAGAAAGTCTTCATGGCTATGGAACAGGAGAAGAAGCCTCATGCAGTATGCATACCAGCCCCGCTACAAGGTCACATTAACCCAATGCTAAAACTTGCCAAAATCCTCCATTCAAAAGGCTTCATCATCACCTTCGTAAACACTGAGTTCAACCACCAACGGCTTCTCAGATCTCAGGGACCCGACGCCCTAAGCAACCTCCCTTCCTTCCACTTTGAGACTATTCCCGATGGCCTTCCACCGCCGGAAAATCATGACGCCTCACAAGAAATCCCGACTCTTGCCAAATCCGTTGATGAAACTTGTTTGGATCCATTTAAAGATCTACTCACCAAATTAAGTGATTCTTATTCACCTGTTACTTGCATTGTTTCTGACTTCCTTATGGGATTCACGCTTGCTGCCGCCACTGAATTGGGTATCCCGGAGATACTCGTGTGGACTAGTGGAGCTGGTTCTCTATTATGTTACGATCAGTATCAAAATCTTTTGGAAAAGGGTTTAATGCCCCTCAAAGGTAATATATTTTTTATTTAGTTAAATCGACATTCATATTACATGGAACTCTATATGTTTAAATGGATTTGTCAAATCATCGTTTTATATTTCATACAATTATATCAATTTTGTATCGTTTTATATTTCATAGAATTATATCAATTTTGTTTCTTTAAGGTATTTAACTCAATAAAGCTTAATAGAATATATATTTAAATAGTTATTTAAGAATAAGAAAAGTTTTCTTTTTTGAATTGAAGGTTCAATTCGTTAATGAATTTGAAATTCATTGAATGAAAATGTGGTATTAAACTCTGCTATTAAACTCTTTTTCAAGATGATCTCATTATTATCCTGTTTGTTAAAAGCTAAATTTTACAAAATAATGGAATAAATTCGAAATTTGAATAATTTAAGCTTATGAAAAAAGTTATAATGATATGTCAAGAAACTAAAAAAATTGATTACTTGTTAGTACATTGGTATTATTTTTATTATATTATCGTTTCCAAAAAAATCAATATAAGTTTCATTTTCATATGTCATATCTCTTAGAAGTTGGAAGTATTTGCAAATTGCACATTAATTAATTAAAGAGGTTTCAGTTTACAAGAAAAATAATATATATATATATAGATAATATATAATATAGATATATATAGATATATATATATATATATATATATAGCATGTGTCGTCGTGTTTTGCAAATTTTTATTACGTATTTTCTACGGAGTTTAGTTCATCGATGGATAAGGTTTTTGTGGTGTAACTGGAAAGAGAAAATTCGTTCCTCGAAGGGTTTACATCAAGCATTTATTATTGAAATGTTAATAGCCTTTAACTCACAAACCAAACAAATGTTTTCTTCTTTATAACAAAAATATATATAAACCGACAACTCTATCTATAATGCATGTGTGTTGAATAATATATATATATATATATAATTATATATTATATAGATATATATAATAGATATATATATATATATATATATGTGTGTGTGTGTGTGTTGTGTGTCAACAAATTCTGACCAAGACTAATTAAGTGACGTTCACATTTTATATAAAATTATGTATAAAATGATATTTTTGGTTCAAAATTAGACTAATTAAGTGACTTTCACATTTTATATAATATCATGTATAAAGTGATATTTTTAGTGCAAAATTAGACTGATTTAGTGACGTTCACATTTTATATAATATCATGTATAAAGTGATATTTTTGGTGCATAGTTAGACTAATTAAGTGATGTTTACATTTTATATAATATCATGTATAAAGTGATATTTTTGGTGCAAAATTAGACTAATTAAGTGACGTTCACATTTTATATATCGTGTATAAAGTGATATTTTTGGTGCAAAATTGAAGCTAACTAATAATATCATTATTTTTGTTTGATATATATGCAGATTCGAGTTTTCTAGTAAATGGTTATTTGGATACAGTTGTAGATTGTATACCTACCATGTCTGGAATACGTCTAAAAGATTTCCCTCCATTCATTAGAATTATCTATCCTGGTGATGAGTATATGGTTAAATTCTTATGTGCGCAAATAGAAAGAGCAAAAATGGCTTCCGCCATCATTTTCAACACATTTCATAAACTAGAAAGTGACATTTTTGATACACTCTCTTCAATGTTTCCTCCTTGCTACGCAATTGGCCCATTTCATTTCCTTGAAGACAAGATCGCTGATAAATCTCTAGGGTCCATCAAATCAAACCTCTGGAAAGAAGAACCAGAATGTCTTAAATGGCTAGACTCCAAACCACCATTATCAGTTATTTACGTGAATTTTGGTAGCATTGCTGTGATGACACCTCAGCAACTAGTGGAGTTTTGTTGGGGACTTGCAAAGAGCAATTATTCATTCTTGTGGATAATACGTCCAGACCTTGTGATTGGTGAGTCTGCAGTGCTTCCACCCGAGTTTTTAGATGAGACAAGCGATCGAAGGTTTTTGGCAGGATGGTGTCCTCAAGAACAAGTTCTAAACCACCCATCAATAGGAGGGTTTTTAACGCATAGTGGATGGAATTCAACGCTCGAAAGCATTTCCTGTGGAGTACCAATGATTTGTTGGCCTTTTTTTGCAGACCAACAAACGAATTGTTGGTTGAGTTGCAACAAGTGGGGTATTGCCATGGAGATTGATAATGATGTGAAGAGTGATGAAGTTAAAAACTTGGTTGTTGAGTTGATGACCGAAGAAAAAGGAAATGTTATAAGGAAGAATGTCACTGACTTTGAAGAACAAGGCTGAGAAAGCATGTACCTCTTCTGGTTCATCCACGGCTGATTTCGAGAAGTTGATCCATTTGATGCAAGATTCAAAATGATTCGTAATTTATTTTACGTATATGTCTTTGTTACAAGTTAAGAATCCATTGGTTTGTTATTTTTTTGTACTTTTGAATTGAATAATAAGGCTAAGTCATAAGTGTTGCAACATATATATAGAACCGACCAACTATCATCACTATTCACTAAGATTAAATAAACTGTTTACACGTAGTCGATGGTAATTGATGGGCCACTAAACATAGTAAAATTTTTACTATACTATCAAAATGACTATAGTGTTTCTAACACAGTGATACGTGGTGTTGTCTTTTCTCTTTAAAGTTGAGGGTTCAAATCCCGTCGTGTACGTAGATGAATTTAAGAAGTAGTTACTAGTTTAGAAGTAGATTAGATTTATAGTTTAA